TGAAAGTCCAAACCTTTACCGTTTAAAAGTTATGGCCAATGATAAAGTTTTTTCATAAGTACAAAAATCTTCAAGGTTAAGGTCAAAAGGTCAAAGTTGTTGGTTACCAATGAAAGTCTTGCCACAATCGTTCAAAAGTTATTGCCAAAGTAAATGTTTAAAATTTTTGTGTAAAAGTGGGTCAAACTCTAAGGACAAGGTCAAAAGGTCAAATTTGGGGGTACCCAAAGAAAGATGCAGGTGTGAAATATGAGTCGTAACTCCACTAAATCAAAAGTTATGGATAAGGTTTAAGTTTTTGTGACATCAAAAGGTCAAATTTGGTGGTACCCAGAGAAAGGTCTTATTTCAAGGAATGCACATGTGAAATATGAAAGTCATAGCTCCACTAAATCAAAAGTTATGAGCAAGGTTAATGTTTTGTGACGGACGGACAGACAAACTGACTGACTGGCTGACGGACGGACAGACGAATGAGATTTAATGTCCCTTTGCTTTCGCGAAAGCGGGGGACCAAAATATAAACAATGCCAATGTGTCAAGCCCTCTCACAAGAAATACAAATGTGAAATATAAAACCCTAGAACCACCTATTCAAAGGTTATGATCAATGTTAACGTTTTTAAAGGTAGAATAAACTCCGGGGTCAAAGTCAAAGGGTCAAGTTTGTTGGTTTGTAAAGAAAGACCATGTTTTTAAGATTAAATATGGGAAGTATGAAAGCGCTGGCCCTTACCGTTCAAAAGTTAAGGTCAAGGTTAAAGTTTGTAATAAGTAAGTTAAACCGCAAGGTTAAAGGGTCAAAGTTAATGAAATCCAATGAAAGATCTTGTCACAAGGATTACAAATGTGAAGTATTAAAGCCCTAGCCTTTACCGTTCAAAAGTTATGGCCAAGATTAAAGTTTTTTCGTAATTTCGAAGATCTCCAATGTTAATCAAAAGGTCAAAATCAATGGTTTCAAATGAAAGGTCTTGCCACAAGAAATTAATATTTGAAATATGAAATTCCTAGTATCTACTTTTTAAAAATAAGGGCTAAAGTAAAAGTTTGGAATTTTTGTGTTAAAGTGGGTCAAACTTCAAGGTCAAGGTGAAAGGGTCAAGTTTCTTGATTTCAAATGAAAGGTCTTGTCACAAGAATTAAATATGTAAAGTATTAAAGAGCCATTCTCTGTAATGATTTGAAATTTTATATAGGAGATGTGAAACGCATAGTCTCAGAATTTCTCCAAACTCTCTATGATAAAAGTCATTGATACCCTAAACTGAAATCAGGCAAAAATTGGTTGCTATGTTTTATGCTTACCATGGCAACATGTCTTAAAATTCGAAAAATGGCATTTTTTAACATGTTTAGAGCCCCATAGTTAACATTTGCGGCAAAGCAAACAATTGGCAATGACTTTTTCCAAAAGTTGAAGGTCAGATGTCTCAAATGCATGATAAATATGTTTGGTAAATCAACTATTACATACGTTACTATGGTAACAAAGTATTCAAAAGTAAAAAAAATATTCATTGAATTTTATAAAGTCATACACGTAAAAATAAAAAGCAATTATAGATGAAATGTTACCAAATAATAGAAAAAAGAGCCTTGAAACTTATACCAAGAACAAACTTTGATATTTCATTTTGGTTGGCAATGGTTGCCAAGGTTTTTATTCCACAGAGAGCCTTCAAAGTAACACTCTGTATAATTAAACCTGATCCTATCTTTTTAAAAAAAGCACATTTCCTCATAACTAATGATCAAATTTATAAGATGTCGATCTGCTCCAAGTTTTCCCACTTGAAAAAATTCAGATTAGATTCTTTAAATAGAGCGTTGCTATAGAAATAAGCAGAAAATATATGCTTAAAAACCTGAAAAATATTTTCTTTCCTTGGATACGTACCCTTAAATGTAGATTCCCAAAACTTTTATGATTGATATTTATTATCAGCTAACTTGACTTTTAATTTTGACTATCATCCAATCTCTAAGTGGATGCAAGAAGTTGGCACACAGGGTTTAATATTGATATAAAGTTCACAAAATCGAACATTTTCCCTTCTTGGTAACCATAGCAATAGTGTTGTTTTATTCATCAAATTTTATTAATATATGATATTCAACTTCAGTTCTAACAGATAAGTACTATTCAAGCTGAGTCCTTTAATTTGTTTCTTGATTAAATGGCAATTTAATTCTTAATGCAGCGAAAAATAATTCACTTTTAAGTACTGGTACTTTGTTTCCATGGTAACACTGCAAAGTAGCAATTATACCCAATTTTTCTTATGGTTTTGGTGTTGCAGGGCCCTAAGGATGCATATTTACCAGTCTTGAATTTTCATGTTTTTCCTCAAGACAGTAGGATTAACCCAGGGTTAGTTACTGGTTTTGCATGGTTACACTGTTTTACCATGGCAACCATAAAAGTTATTTATAGAATAATATTGCTTATACTTATATACTTAAGGTCAAACATTTTCATTGTTTTTCTTAAGTCGTTGATTGAGTTTGAGCATGTAACACCTACCATTAGTGAATACGGAGTGTTTTTCAGCATATTTCAGCATTTTAAATGTATTCCAAAAGTACCCTTGGTTACCACTTACTTAGAGATATAATCTAAAAAGTTTCTTTACAGTATAAGTGACATCAAGGTGTCATGTTTTTGTGAGAATGGTTTATTTGCTTTTTCTTGTTTTTATTAAGCCACAGTCAAGATTTAAAGTGGCTGAAAATCTCGATTTTTCAAACTTTTCCGGCTGTTGCCATAGCAACCGAGACACATAGCAACGAAATTTTGTTTGGTATTTGTTTCTGGTGTCAAGTACTAAGCATGGGTGAAGTTTCATCAAAATCGGTGACCATGCGTGGCAACGAAGTTTAAGTGGTTACAGGGAATGGCTATTAAAGCTCTAATCCTAGCCCTTCAAAAATTATTATATAATTATATGGTCAATGTTGTATTTTAAAAGTAGGTCAAATTCCAAGGTCAAGGTGAAATGGTCAATTTTCTTGATATCCAACGAAACGTTTTCTCACAAGGATTAGACATTTGAAGAATGAAAGCCCTAGCTCTTACCGTTCAAAAGTTATGGCCAAGTTAAAGTTTTTTCATTAGTACGGAGATCTCCAAGGTCAAAGTTGTTGGTACTCAATGAAAGCTTTTGCCACAAAGAATAATTATATGAAGAATAAAAATCCTGGTCCCAAGAACAGACTTAGGTCAAAATTTTGATTTTTGATATCTAAAGTTTCATTCAATGTATTAGCTTAAAAATTTGCAATTGTCCAAAACTCTTCAATTCTAATATATGATGAAAATTTTATTTTATTATCAAAATTATTTGGAAAGTTATATCAATTTGAGATTTTGACTTAAGTCTGTTCTCATTTTATGGTCTTGGGGCCTGATATCTACTGTTCAAAAGATATGGCCAAAGTGTAAAATGTGAGTCAAACTCCAAGGTCAAAGGGTCAAATTTGGTGGTACCCAAAGAAAGGTCTTGTCACAAGAAATACACATATGAAATATGAAAGTCATAACTCCACTAAATCAAAAGTTATGGGCAAGGTTAAAGTTTTGCGGACAAACAGACAAACAGCCAGAGAGATAGACAGACAGACGGACGGACACGACAAAAAACTATATAACCCCAAAACTTCGTTACGGGGGCATAAAAAGTATTCTGAGAGTATTGCATTAGCAACACATGTCTCCTACGGGATCCCCTATTATCTTTAGCATGTCAATTCATGAAAAAGTGCTCCCAAAATGTGAATATTTCGATAATTGTTCATAGGGCAGACTGACAGACAGACTTTGTGACAGCTATACGGTCGGACGGACGGACGGGCGGACTCAGAGGAAACTTGTAGTCCCCTCCGGTTTTACCGATAGGAGACTAATAAAATTTGAACAAAGAGTTACATGGCCTTGCCTCCCTCCCCAATAATTTTGCCGATATTTAATGTACTATAGAAAACCTAGCTACTATACTATCGTGCTCCCTTAATAATAACGCCTGATTTTTTTCCCCTTCTTTTTTTGATAGTTGATAGTGCTCCAACAGAAAAAAACATGACCCCCCCCCCTCCCCAACTGAAACTGCTAAGAGTTATTATTAGATTTGAATTACAATGTACCTATAGAAATAATACTGCAGATCTGAAGCTCGCTAATCAGAAATATTGGGATGGACATCACCGATAGTTGGAAATGCGTAACGGGCATAAATTATCCCACGTTTCCAACAGCCATTAGTGTCCCTGGCATACCCAACAAAGTAGACAGTTATTCCTTATATTTACAATTAATTGTGAAATAAAATTGTATATATATATTTTAAAATGTCTAATATATTTAAAATGGAATTGATTAGAAAAGTAAATATTTTAAATGTCAGCCTAAGGTCGCAGCAAGTGTTTTTGTTTTCCTGTCGAAGATTTTGAATAAAGTCTGCTTCATGTAAATACAAAAACAGGTCCTCCAATGCAGAAAAAATGGTTCCTTATGTTTACCTGGAAATTCAAGTGTAGGTGTACATAATGTATTATTTATTTAACAATGTTTTAAGTGGTATATATATTTTTTTTAAAGTTTTTTTTTTTAGCAATTTTATAATAGGATAATTTTTAGCGATCTCTTTACATTTCTGATTGAAAAAAAGTTTTACATGAAAAAAAAATGATTTAAAATTTAAACAAGTATATATTTGAAATGAATTTTAGATTGTTAGATTAAGTTTGTAAAGTAATGTTGAGTATATAATCATATAATAAAATGTATTATTTATTTAACAATGTTTTAAGTGGGAATTACATATAATAAACGACACACGAAAAAAGTTTTACCAAATGATTTAAAATTTAAACAAGTATATCTAATGAATTTTAGTTTTAGATTCACAAATGTTGGTATATAACTCGACACACAGTTTCCTTTTAAGCTCACAAAATTAATGTTCACAGTCTTGTTCTTTTTGATCGACTGTACTCACATTTTGTCTTTAACCATACAACAGAGCTAGATTAAAATTAGATAGGGTTCCCATGTAAGCAATAAATAATAGTGGTAAATAAGCCTAACTTTTAGACTAACTGACTGCGTTATAGCCAGAGTAAAACATGTAATTATTACTAGTATATAACCACCTGGCCACCTGGTATGAAGTAAAAACAATTAAATACATTCGAAATGCATGTAGTCAAAAGATTTACATAAAAATGTACTAAATATGCACACTAACCACAATGACAAAATACTTGTAGAAGCTGGGCGATCAAGATATGTTAATTTTCTGGTACAACTTACACTCCGCCTAAATCAATCTACACGTGGTGATTCAAACATCTGTTCGTTATTTATGCAAATAAAGTCTACAGAAGTTTATTGCATCCTAAGCAATACGTTATCTTTAAAGTACACTTATACTATATTAGTTGTCTCTAAATGACAGCAAGTAACGGTAAGTTTTCTTTAATTTTGATAAGATTCATTCATCGATGTGCTCAGCGATCTAGAACCATTTTTTTAAACTGTCTCAAAATCAAAGATTCTTACTGGTTAGATTTCAGAAAGGGGTGGAGATTTTGTTAAAAAAGAACAAAACAAATTCAAATAACTATCAATGAAAATAGGTAATCAAATTCTTGCATTATGAGTCGATAATAAACAAAAGGTAAAAGTTGAAAGCCCGCGAACATGACTTCCGACTTGACTAACACTGGGAGGTAGATATAAGATAAAACCCACAACGGTTCTAAACACGGGGTGCCCTAAGCATCGACGACAGTGAACGGATTTTTAGACATTAACTTATGATATAAACATCATTTAACAAGTTCTTTATTTTCATTTAACCGTTTTCGCGATATATCCTTTTTGCACGCATTTGTTTTATCTAACCTTTACCTTAAGTGCGTATCTCGTTTTCCGACAACCCTAACCATGATTGGTTCGGCACGGCCTTTGCAGCATATCACACTTTGTATAATTTATTTTGGCCTTTTTATTTTTATTTCAATGCGACTTTGCAATGGAATGCCAGTGGATATTTCTGTGGAACGACTAAATGAGGGTGTTTTGCCCCAAGAATCCTCCGAAAGGACTGAGGTAAGTCCAATTTTCTTGACGTATTTCAATCTTGGGCTCGGTAGTACAAGCTTTGATTCTTTTCATATTTTTTTTTCTCATCTTGTTCCTTGGGGTATTGTAATTCTTTGTGCAATAAATGATGAGGCTAGGTCAGAAAAATGATTGTATGAATTATAGAAACATTACAATTATCTTACCGTATTTTATGGAAGAATAGAGATATTCCAAGAAAATTAACCAAAGTTCGAGCAACTCAACCGCTCGGTGGATTATATTGGCATGCTCAAATTAGGATTATCGTTTTAGCGTGCATATCATGGTGTAAAAATTAGGCTTAGCGACTATCGTTAATCAGGCCCCAAGACATGCGTCCTTGTCAAATTTTGACGCGGGGTTTAGTACGAAGATGTTCCTCACCAGTGTGGACATTGTTCGTGGACCGTTTATGGCGAAAAAAAGCTGGGGAATGGCGATTATATTTAACTGTATGTCTTTATGTGACCCCCAGAAGATGTCAAATCACTCAAAATACCAGATTTGCACAAAAGAAATTAATATTCCATTTTTTTTATCCCTTAAAATATATCATATCTGTCATATTGTACGAAAACATTAATTTTGATAGCTATTTGAAAACAGGTAACGCCTAAATAAACTCATTATAACGTAATTTGTATAACTACTCTTGGTTAGGTATAAATACACTTAGTATGACTTTTTTTGCATTACATCGTTATTGTGTGAAAATTAATGAGTGAATGTGGAGAATTTACAAAATGTGATTAATCTTAACATTAAACAAGCTGCTTTATGGTCTCTCTTCGTTTGTAAATCACATTAACTAGTCCAATTATTCACACATTCTTAAACAGCTGGTTATGGGAAGCTCTATTAATTTTGAAATCGCCTCTTTGCATTGAGTAAAAAAAAAGTCGGAAACCCTGGCTCATTTGTAAACAGGTCAAAAAAAAAATCAGAACCACTAAAACAAAGACCAAAAAGGCTTCTATAATCAAATAATGGAGTGAATTTATAGCTAAGCTTGCGAGCACGCAAACAAAAAGGATAATCAAATAGGAACCTGGCCAAAGAAAAGGATTACAATGTTTACAAGTTATTTACAAAAAGTAGATTGTGTAGCCTAAAACCTTAATTAAGAAATCATAAATCTTATTAAAATGAACCAAATTTAATTAATAAGAAAATCTAATTGCTTTTTAAAAATCTTCTTTCAAAAAATTTAGTTATATATCTTTAAACAAAAGTAAACAGGTCTTTACAAGAAGTCTTACAGTACCTAATTATTATTATTTTGGTTTTGTTTGTGATTTGTGTTTTTAACTATTTCACCTGATAATTAAGACATCAGCTGAACTGCTTCTGATCGACTTTTGTTTAATCAACTGTTCGTCTTTCTTTCTGTCTGTCCTTCGAAAAATTAGCACTTTCGACTCTAGAACCACTTGGCCAATTTCATCGATTCAACTCTGCACATTTTGTTTTTGGTTAAAGGGTATTCAAATGTTCTCAAGGCAATACTTAAAAAAATAATTATGAATTGAAGAAGTCTGTAGAAAAACAGGATGACGATGACTCAGGCGAGCCTTTAGGCCATTAAACCTATAGCTAACTTTTTATAATACATCGTTAATTATGTTTCCATTTACATTAATAAACAAATTTAATAGAAAAAAAAACAAGCTATAATAGATCTATCACAAACAGCTTACAAATGCTGTTTTTACTTTACACATAATCTGATAGTTAAAGCAACGGAAGTATCGCCTTGATTGATTACAATTGAATCATACATCTTCGCGTATTCCTCTCTTGCAATAAAATTTCGTGTCTTAATACATCATTTTGTAAAAAAAAAAATATAATAATTATTTAAGAGTGATGATGAAAACTGTGCATGATGCAGCATTAATCTGGTAAATATGAAATACCACGTGCACGGGAGTAAAGAAATCAAGTTGGATATTATCCGAACTGAGCTTAATATGCAACTGTTAAACTCAATAAGGAAGTCCTCTTACAAAAAAGAACCTTTTATACAAAAGGAAATAAAAAGTTTCCCTTCTGGCCTATGAAATGCCTTCTTCACAGAGTAAAAGGCTTTTATCTCTATCAGAAATAACGGGGAAAGAATATACATATACCATGGAGTACAATAATGAACATTGTCAAGGTGTGTTATGAATTTTTAAACGCGTTCTAAAGCAGAAAATTCATTTTGAAGACATTATAAGACATTAAACTGTAAAATGAATGCATATGGAATATGGAGTGGAATACATTTGAAATAAAATCCTTTATCATCAATTCTTAAGTCAAGGGGGTTTATTTTTAGTATTTGTAATACAAACGAATCATACATGGTAAAAAAATTTTAAAAATGCAAATTAAGGTATTGTATTGATGAAATTTAGAAAAATAATTAATTTCTCCAACAATCTAAATTAAATTCAATTTGATTTCTAATAGGTGTTCAAGTTTAGATTTTGGAGTATCCAAAAACTCATTAAGAGAGTTAATTGTGACGAGTACACATTCCATCATCCGTAGAATTGTTTTGTGATAGTACTTTGAAATTCATCGAAAAATATGAATCTAAAAGCAAAGAATAGATCCTTGTAAAAACAAGCAGAAATTACAAATTTCACAATTTTCATTCATTTATTTTCAACTCTTTTTAAATTTACAAGTATTGAATGTTCCTGATAGGGATGACATCAAAATGCCAGTATTTTTTCCTGCCCACCTAATAGAAAGAACTACGTATGTTAGGCGCGGCGACGCCTTGTGGTGTACCCGAGGGCTAGCAATCAGACTGTTGTATCAACAGAAGAATGTGTGAAAACTATCTATGACCCATTAACTAGTGATCGACTCTGATCTGGATAAGACTATCAAGTGTGTAATCGGATTTATCTCTCAAATATTTCAACAGATGATCAAATGTGAGAAATGTAAACTATTTAAAAATATATTTACTAGCTACAAAACCGAAAATATATTAAATTACAAAAAGAAGTACATGTAATATGTAAAAAATGTAGAAGTATTCAATGTACGCGTGTTTCAAATGAAGAGGAGAAAGATTGAATTCTCATTGAAAAAAAAATCAGTCTCTTCAAATGGAAACTTGTGAAGTACGACAAAGTTTGTGATTTCTGTCAGATAACAAATCAAACGTTTCCCCTCAAGCCATTCATTGAAATTCACATAGACAAATGTCGATATGTCTAACTTCTAAATATCATCTAAGTATTTGTTCTAGCAATAAAAAAAATATTTAAATAACGTTTCCTTTGAAATTTCAAAATTGAATATAATTTGTAGACACGCTTGAGCATGATTTCAATCAATGTTATTTACAAAATAATCATTTCACAGTTTTGAAAGTTGAACAGATGCATTCATACGAGTTGTTACTGACAAGTAAATCGTAAAAGCAACGGTTTGTTATTTAAAATATCTTGACTCACCTATACTTTTTCCTCTTAGGCTTTCGATCCACTGGACATCAATGATGGTCAATCCTTGGACGCCAAACTCAAAATTATGAGGCTCCTGTCCGAGCTGGAAAAGGAAATGGAAGAGAAGTTTCAAAGAGTATGCATCAGATATTTATTTTGTGAATACACATACATTAAAAAACATAGTGACGAAAAAATACATTGGAAATTACTTTAATGAACTTGTTTTCAACATTTGTTCACTTACAATTTAAGAGAAAGAATCATACAAAGGTTAACGCAACAGCTACACCTCCAAAAGCGGCTCCCTACATTTTTGAGGGGGATATTATTTTACAACCAGAACAAGCACTGGAAATTGTTGAATGGGGAAAACGTCGACAAAAGCGCAAGCTGCACGCCAAAAAGGTTTATTTGTGGAAACTTCCTATATGGTACACCTTTCATCCTAACGAGTATAGTGAGTAAATCTCTCCTTGCCAGTTTTAGTTCATTTATACCAAACAAATTTCTGTCAGTCTATAATTTTTCTATTTCGAAAAAAAATAACATTGCTTAGTTTCTTTGGTTTATCTGAAATAACAATTAAAAAATAAATTAGTTTAATGTATCCTGATTCTAATTTTTTAATCACTGTTTTATTTTTAAAAAAACTTTTTTTATAGATAAGATGGAAGAGAATAGTATTCTAGAATCTATTAACATCTTGGAGAAACTAACTTGTATCAAGTTTCAAAAGATAGAATATCATCTACTGCTTAACAACACCTTCCAGTTGGCCAATCAAAACAATGTCACTATAAACTTCACCAAAGACATGGGGTAAGCGGAAATTTGCTTTGATTTTAAGAAGTTTTAAACTGTAATTTTTAGGTATGTCCCCTATAAAAGTTTAGAATCAATTTTGGTTTTACCGTATTTCTCATTTAAGACCGAAGTTTCTAACACAGACTTTAAGGCGCATGTAGTCTTTCTCATTATTACCTTTTTTTAAGTTCGTTCGAAAGACTTTTATTTTTGCTAATTCCTAATGTGATTATTCATTCCTTATACATGTATCAACTTACAGGAAATCGCGATTTCTCAGCAACAAGGAAATACTCATTTTAAAGACTACTAGTATCTTTTTTTTCTCAAAAATTGCTGCTGATAGAAATGCGATATTGTTCAAAAATTATTTTTTCATATGTCACAACTTGTTTGCATTGCAGTATGGGAAAGAATAAAATCTGCTTGATTTGATATATATCAAGCTGCATTTTTTTTTAGGTACAAACCGGAGTAGTGGGGTATTGAGGGAATTTTGTTATTTTAATTAATTTAAATTATATATATACCATATTTAATTTATAAATTGCACACAAACAAAGGAATCAGGATTAACTGGTCATGATTTGTTGTAATGGAAGGCTATTTAGAAGAAAATTCTACAAATCTTTCCACAGTCGTTTGTTTAATTTTATATTTTGGAACTTTGAAATTAATCTAGAGCTGATCATAAGATTTTCCTCCTAAAAATCAGTTATTCAAGATACCACAAGTAATTAAAAATCTCAATAAAGCGCTTAAAGATTGTACACATTATGCTTCTTGGGTGCAAGGCTCTGGATTAGGTTGCCATTTATTGATAATGTGTTAAACCTTTGAAAAATAATGTTCTTAAGTACTCATGGACACAAACGCGTCAAACTATAATTATCATAATTATAATCCGTACTTAACCTTTTTCTGACAATGTAAAATTCATGCCATAATATAGACATTATAATCATAAATATTTCGGTCTATGATTCAAGCAATATCTTGGAATTAAGTTGGTCATATATTGAAAATTCATTACTATTGAAAAATCTTTTCTTTGCCCCTAAATATTTAGCAGGCAGTCCAAAGACATGCTTGTTAAGGTATTCTCGTTCTCTGCCAGAGAGGATCCACTTGTTTTCCCTATAAAATATGATTTACTTTACAGATGAGGTTTGAAGAATTATTGTGGGTAAAAACGCGTAACTTTAAGAATTCAGAGACATTTTGTGAGCATTTTCAATAAGCCAGTGCCTGATTTTCAGAACCTGAGGATCGGATTACCTTAAATGAATTGGTGGGGTTTTTTTTTCTTCGTTCAAAATCGGATATGTCACATCTACATAATGATATTTGTTTTTGCCTGCTTTAAAAAAACAAGCTCAGTCGTTTAGCAGGAGAACTACGGAACATTTATTGAATTTAAGAATTTAAGTGTAATTCTGGTCGAAAAATTACGAAATGATGTTTAATAAAGATGAAAAGCAAAGTATGGGCCTCTTCCCTAAAAACAAAAAATGTACTTTTTGAAACTCATTTGCAAGTGTTACAAGAAAGCTATGATTATCGTCCACATGTATTTAGTCTTCCGCCTTGCGCAGTGGTTAGAGCCTCTGCTGTAGAGCCGCGAGGTAACGAGCTGATCCTCACTCGCGGGTTAGAATCCTCTGCTCGACTTGGCGAATGGTTCCTTCGACTGAGATCATGTTGGCACGAAAAAGATCCCTCGCTGCGCAGTGGCCCTGAGTGCCGAGTGTAGGTATATATTTGCAGTCACCAGTGTACTGTCAAGGTGTCTCCATATGAGTGAAAATTCTCCAGAGAGACGTTTAACAACAAATGAGCAAAACAGTTGCTGGTGAAAAGGACACAGAAGAGTGCAAATATTGGAAAAGTTGCAGATCTTCGCTTAATCTACTTGTTTTTTTTTCCCAAGAGTGCTGTCTGACATTTTGTGTCTTTGTCTTTCCTGATATACTTTATTTTATCAAATAAAATATACAACAAGACTATCTTAGTCATGTTGTATATTTTATTTGATAAGATAAAGTATATCAGGAAAGACATCTTCATAACGCGCTACAAAACGATGTAGAATCTCTTCAACAGGGGAAGATAATATTTCAGAAATTGGAGAAATTAAGTACGTCCTTAGAATCAAAATGGTTAAATTATTGGGGATTAAATGAAGGACATAGATAAAAGTGTAGTAAATGCAGTAAGTTTGGCTAAATTTAATCAGCAGTTCTAAAAACATAATCACTCTTGAATTTTAAGAACATCAAGGCTAAATGCTTAAAGGTGCCTGGACACAGATTTGAAAATTATAATATTTTCTTCAATTATCAGTTTTTCATATCATGACTTATATGTAGCTGTAGTATTTCACATGGAAATATAATTTTAAGAAAACCTATTTTATCTGGAAATTAGTGTAACTCTGAATTTCGGGACGGGCTTCAACGACTCATCTTTTGCACTCTTATGAAATAATCTTTACCCTTAATACTTATTAAAAGAAGAAATTGTCCGAAAGAGAAATAAATTAACTTTTATTTCCGTTAGAGAGTCATAGAAACAAACGAAAACTTTGTTTTTCCGTTGACAAATATCAAGATCTCTTAAAGGTACTTGGACACAGATTTGAAGTTAATTTTTTCTGTATAATATCATGAATTATATATTTTAAAAGCATTTCACACAAAAATTAATTAAAAATCTTTTTTTCATTTCAAAGTTATTAAAACTTCAAATTTTATGGCGGGTTTGATTGACACATCCTTGCACCTTCACAAATTTTAACTTTATTCTTAATCCTTCGGTAAAGTGGCAGTCTTTTTGTTTATTAATGAGAAATATTAAAACTTTAATCCAGAAAAATAATTTTTTTTCAGAGTAGAAATGTTACAAAGCAAAATTCCTTCACAAGTATTGTCATTCCGAACGAAATCTTGTGTGCAAATCGATCACACTCGTGTTATGTACACAGTTTTTGTAAACAGGGCAGGAGCTCTGTTATTGTTGATTGTTTACGATTCACCGGGTGCGTTCAGCCGTCAAAGTCTGCTCACCACAACTGCACGGGCTGAGAATATATTGTGTGTTTGTTTTGCTTTCGAACATGTCTACTCTGATTTTTCTGGATTATAGTATTAATATTTTTCATTTATACACAACAAGATTGCCACTTTCCCTAAGTATTAAGAGTTAACTTAAAATTTGTGAAAGTGCAAGGATGTGTCAATCAAACCCGCCCAAAAATTTAAAGTTTTAATAACTTTTAAAATAAATAAGATTTTTAATTAATTTTTGTGTGAAATGCTATTAAAATATATAAGTCGTAATATTATACAGAAAAAATTACCCCCAAATCTGTGTCCAAGTACCTTTAACCCTAAATCTTTCGAGAACAAAATTCACTTTTTGAAACTGCGACATTAACTCCTAGGACGGAAGTGTTTTTTAATCCAAAATTGTCATGCATGTAGTTTCTTTTAACTTATCTGATAAAAAATCAAAATCTTTCCAGTCACCCTTAGATTAGCAAGAAAATCAATTACTGTAAGGTTTTCCTTTGAAGATGGAAGACATTAACAGAATCATAAAGTGTGCGATTCATTTTTAAGATTCATTTTTCGATGAACAAAATCATTTATTTAGTCAATCGTATAACAAATATGATGTTCAATAAATGTGTTGAATAAAATTTCTTTTATAATCCCCTGGCAACGGATTTGGAGGGGATATAGTAATGAATTAGTGTTTGTGTTTGTATGTGTGTGTGAGAGAGAGAAAGGGGGGTTGTGTGGGTGTGGGTATGCTTGTTTGTTATATCCTATGCGAAAATGAAGTGACGCAGTTTGTATCGGGATCAATGTTTGCCTTGATCTATAGATATGTTCTTTGCTCATCATCTCAATCAAAGATATGTAGAAGGAGTTTCGACGAACAAAATGTTAGGCACGGCAGTACGTGCGAAAGCACGTGTCAAATAGCACAGCAGTGTGTGCGGAAGTGACATATATTACTTTTAAATACAAACATGTAATTAATAGATTAGGCCTAGCAGTGCTGTGTTTCAGGAAAAAACTTTGAAATGTGAAACAAATGCATTTTGATGATGTATATAGTGAATAATAACCCATATGTAACGGCCCCCGTTACAATTGTAGCAGCAGTAGTGAAAGCTTAAAGATATCTTAATGCTCAACCTTAATATGTTCAGACCTGGTTTCAGTTGTTGGTCCTACATCGGTAGACGAGAGGCACATAATGGTGTACAAGCTTTGTCAGCAGCCCCAAACTGTATGGTTGTACGTATTTGATTTACAATTAACCGTTTCAAATATCTTCTCTTGTATCATAAGACGTATGGATTTATGGGAGATTATAACTTTTCAGAACGAAGGTTCCTTGTTGCATGAACTGGGTCATGTAATTGGCTTTTGGCATGAGCACTCCCGGCCTGACAGAGATAGTCACATTAACGTGGAAAACGATTCAATAGAGGAAGGGAAATTGTTCAACTTCTACAAAAGCAGTTGGCAGAATGTGGAAACGAAAAACGTCAGTTATGATGTCAGCTCCATAATGCATTATTCTGCTACCGTAAGTTTATACACTTTTAAGTATTTGCTCAACACAAAATTATTCTGTATTTTAGACACTACAATTTTGTACTAGGTTACTTAAAATCTCTTCTAAGCTTCGACTTTTAGTAAGCAGTCCCTGACCGATATACACTCTAAGAATAAATTGAAAAAAATTAATAAAAATATGCAAATGATTTAATTCAATTATATGTCATTATCTGATAAGTATTTCGGAAATAAAAGGCCCGGGTGAATGAAGAGTCAAAAAATGCGTATATTTTCAATAATCGTGATTTATTTCTGCAACAGTTAAATGTTTTTGGTTAAGAAATTGAAAACATAAACAACTTACGATTGTTGTTTACCAACGATGAAATATCGTAAGCCTTACTGTAGGAAACCCTGTCATTGGTTCCTTTCTACTTTGTTGACGTCTGCCCTAGTTTGATCCCATGAAAATTTCACCCGTGAGCATTGCAAAAACCTTCGATTTACGATGGCGCTTTAATGTCGCTTGCTCAGGGTATTATTTCTTGTATAATATGCCTTCCCCTCTCAAACTTAAAGCATGGTATGGTTTTAGTCATATTTTATTCTATTCTTGTAATTTTTTACCATTTTGGGTGTGATAAAAAAAAAAAACAAGACCTTATCATGGACATCGAAATGCGAATTTTTAAACCTGACATTCCAAGGTAATTTTTGACTGTAAAGAAGATGGGCGCATTTGGCGTGTGATCTGCAGGAATCATTTGTACGAAACATTTATGGTTTAAATGTCAATGATTTGGTTGGCTGAACATAGCTGGTCAGATTTTACAAACACGTCCATAGTTTTTTTTTTTCATTTAGTTTGAAAGACCTTGGTATATGGTAACATCTATGCCCGTTTTTCCTAGGGGTACTATAACGTAGTAATGTTTCACAAAAAATAAACACCTAAAATATTTAATGCATAGATGCATGATACGTGCACATGTACATTATAGAATAGAAGATTGGAATTGATTTCGCTCGAGAACCAAACTGAACCGAAATTTATCTAATTCAAAATTTAAATACATCAGGACCTTATCATGGACAGAAATGCGAATTTTTAAACCTGACATTCCAAGGTAATTTTTGACTGTAAAGAAGATGGGCGCATTTGGCGTGTGATCTGCAGGAATCATTTGTACGAAACATTTATGGTTTAAATTCAATGAGCATAGCTGGTCAGAGGACATAAAACATTTTGGGTGAAATTTATCTAATTCAAAATTTAAATACATCAGGACATAAAACGAAACTGACCAAATAAATGGTTGTTTCATGAAAAAAAATTAAAGCCCCATGCCAGACTCGAACCAAAAACTTTTCGCTTTGAGCGGACTGAACAGGTAGCCCTACTCACTGAGCTATCAGCGCTACACGTATAAAGATGATTTAAAAAGGACAAAGAAGCACCACATTCACACATTTGGATTTTTGAGGGAAAAAGTACATTTTTCTTGGTCTCTCTCCAATCTTTTAAAAATGTGTATTCGTTTTTTTTTAATTAAAATACACACAAATAACCTTTCAAATCATGGAGAGAAGACCCAGAGATAGAAAATTTTTAGAAAAACGTGTTTAAAAATGTTCCATTTTGTATTAAATATCTGATCTGGCCAATTTTCAAGTTATGACTAAGGTTAAAAAAATTTGATAGTACGTTTAACTCCAAGATCAAGGTCAGAAGGTCAAGGTTACTGGTATTGAATGAAAGGTCTTGTCACAAGAATTACATATGTGAAGTATGAAAGCCCTAGCCCTTTCTCTTCAAAAGTTATTGCCAAGGTTAAAGTTTTTTCATAAGTTTGAAAATCTCCAAGGTCAAGGTCGAAACGTCAAGGTTATTGGTATCCAATAAATGCTCTTGCTTCAAAGAATACATATGTGAAGTATGGAAGCTTTGGTTCTAAGCGTTCAAAAGTTATGACCAAGGTTAAGATTTTATTTAAGTAGGTCTAACTCTAAGGTCAAGGTCAAAGGGTCAAAGGTCTTGATATCAAATGAAAGATCTTGTCACAAGGATTAAATATGTAAAGTATGAAAGTACTAGTTCTTCCCTTTAAAAGATATGGTCAAGGTTTATTTTTAAAAGTAGGTCATACTCCAAGGTCAAGGTCAAAGTGTCAAAGCTCTTGGTATCCAACGAAGCGTCTTCTTACAAGGACTACATATGTGAAGTATGAAAGCTCAAGACCTTACCGTTCAAAAGTTATTGCCAAGGTTTAAGTTTTTTTATTAGTACGTAAATCTCCAAGGTCAAGGTCAAAAAGTCAAGATTGGTAGCATCCAGTAAAAGGTCTTGCTACAAAGAATATATATGTGAAGTATAAATGTCCAAGTATCTACAATTCAAAAGTTATAGCCAAAGTAAAAATTTGATTTTTTTGAGTTAAAGTGGGTCAAATTCCAAGATGACGGTCAAATTTGGTGGTGCTCAAAGAAAGGTCTTGTCACAAGAAATACACATGTGAAATATGAAAGTCACAGCTCCACTAAATCAAAAGTTTTGGACAAGGTTAAAGTTTTTGCGGACAAACACACAAACAGAGAGCCAGACAGACGGACATGACAAAAACTATAAACCCCCGAAACTTCGTTTACGGGGGCATAAAAAGCTTGAATCTGTAACTGTCCGAATTTTCACAACCAGAGCTACAGTTCTGCAGCTATGATAAATTTATTTATACTTTAACGAAACTTTAGTAATAATAAGAAAAGTTGGCTTGTTATCATAAATTCTGTTATCACTCTCTATAGACCCTTTTCCTATGACATATTTTGCCTAGGAGTTATTCCCCTGAGCCGCCATCTTGTTGGGCAAAGTTGTGAATTTACCTCTTTGAGCAACCAATTTTTAATATGCATGCAAGAAATATATGTTGGAAAATATTTACAATTTTAAAATAGTGAATTAATAGAAGCCTTGACAAACGTATATTCATAAGAAAAATAGTGTTAACTTTACCTCATTAACCAGTATATCAAATTGAACTTGGTTGAATAATGAAGGGAACTGGATATGTTGCCCTACAATATGGCGGCTAAGGGGAATAACTCCTAGACAAAATATGTCATAGGAAAAGGGTCTAGTTGTCTGTCAATACGTTTTTCTCATAAACTATGTTTAATTAAATCGTACTTATATACTAGTATACATTATCTTAAACGGTCACAAGCATATCTTACAGTCACAGAGTTTCATCACCATTCAATACTATACCATTTTATAAATAATGCATGGTTATCACTGTAACTAAGCAATATGCCATGTTTATCTAATTCTAGAGACAAAGTGATTCGATTTCTTCATGCATTTATGAACAAATTTTTAATTGTAGAGTAAATGAAATTCTTCCTCTGTTTTTCCCTTGTTACAAACACTACTACGGAAGCCCATTTGTGCCAACCTGTATATAGAATGGAAAAGCGACATATAAAAGCAAACCTCAATATATAAAGGAAATGCGATATATATATAAACAAAACCTCGATATATATAAAGGAAATGCGATATGTATGTAGAACTCCAAAGTGTGATGGGACTCCAAAGTCCGATGGTCTACGCCAAACCCCGATGGTTTGACACGCCAAACCCCTATGGTGCTGAAAACAATTAACATTTATGACGTCATAATACTAATGCAGCAAACTATAATGCAGCACCATGCCAAGATTTTAAATAAGTATTTATAAATATCACTATGCGAAAACTAACCATTATCTCTCGGATAGGTGCGAAACTTACCCTAATCGCTCGAAAAGTGTGTAGGCCTAACAACTAAATAGATATCTAGATATCTTGGATGGGTGCGATACTAACCCTGATAACTCGACTAGTGTGCGAGGACTAACCCTAAATCAATTAAATTAAAAGGACTAACCCTAATCAGTTGAGTGGTGTGTGAGGACTAATCCTAATATCTCTGAAACATGTAAGCAATACACAAAATAAATAAAAGCGTATGCAAGGATAAATTCGTTTGAATGCAGGAAAATGGCGTCAAGGATTGACGTCGAATTATTGTGACGTCATAAACGTCGATTGTTTCTTCACACCATCGGACTTTGGTGTGTCAGACCATCGCACTTTAGCGCAGGGTGTCTTATAGGAAACGAGCCATCGGACTTTCGCGTGACCATCGGACTTTGGAGTCCGTACCGACAACAAACCATCGGGGTTTGGCGAGACCATCGGACTTTGGCGTCACCATCGGACCTTGGAGTCTTACATATATAAACAAAACCTCGATATATAGAGAGAAAAATATGATATATATAAACAAAATTTGGATATATATATAAAGAGAGATGCGAAATATATAAAGAGAAAATTTTCCATGGCCTGACCTTCAATGACCTTCAGGGATTCGCCAAAATCTGATAAGCGGCTCCCTGAGCACTGATTGAATGTAAACGGTAGATGTGGTTCAGTTTCAGGATGGTTTTCAGTGTTTTGCGTTTTCTTTATTTGTATATCTTAATTCATATGATGGTTAAAACTAAAGTGTATGAATAAAACTGCTATTTTTCTTACATTTCAAACGTGTTGGGGCAGAATAAAATCAAGACATTTTGCTCGATATGCTTATGTCATGGCAATAAATATTGGGTATTTTCATTTGAAATACATATAATTCAGTGCAAAAACGCACATCTGTAATTTCACGTTTTATAAGAATGATATAACTTTTTTAATTTGCATATAATCATGATAATTGCATTTATTTGCATTTATTTTATAATTGAATTTAAAATCTATAACAAGATTTTGACGGGGTTGTTATCATCAATTTGTCACTAAATTATAACGACATTATTTTTTTAAAAAAATGTTTACGTTGTAGTAATATCAACAACTTGGAACAATAATCCGCACTATAATTGATAAGTGTGCACTATTACTCCTTTCATTCATTCCAAAATACATAATATTTCTTTTTTTACACCCAAGAACCTTAAAATTAATTTTTAAAGGCGTGACTGTCGCCTTCTTCTCTAAAAATCCATCCTCACATAAAAAAAAATTATCTTCGTCTCTCGCATCTCTCTCCCATTCCGATTTTCAATTTGTTTACCAATCGGCATACAAGTATATTATACTTATATCATTAATTTGAATGTGGACATACAAAAACTAAACTTGTTAAGTCTTAATGCTGTACATTTATTTTCATAAATACTCAGTTAAATTGTTGGACCAGTATAATACTGTAAAGTTTTGTGAAAACGAAGTTTATCTCAAGTACATGTACACGTAAAGCCAATAAATACATAGAAAGGACGATTCACATCATATTATGAACTAATTAATAATCAAATGCTCATCTACTCCATTAAGTGCATTATTTTTAGTAAAGTTTCAAAAAGAGTTCCTTGATACATGTAAGAACAGAAGTCTCCTGATTCTGGGAACGCATAGTGTAATACAAGATTACTATCTCGGATCAGCCCCTGACAGGGCTTAATCTGTTTATAATCTTGATGGACAGCTGGGGAAGTCATGCAGTGGGAATTTTTCTCTTCATATATTTCGCATTTCTCTTTCTCCAAGTTTTGCTTACATATATATACACACATTTCTCTTTATATATATCATATATATCGAGGTTTTGTTTATATCTAACGCATCTCCTTTATATATATCGAAGTTTTGTTTACTAGTATATATATCGCATCGCATTTTCTTTATATATATATCGAGGTTCTGTTGATATATTTCGCATTTCCTTTATATATTGAGGTTTGCTTTCATGTATTGTTTTTCCTTTATATGTACAGATTGGCACTAATGGGCTTCCGTACATAACAAATACAGACGAGTGTGTATATGTTCCTTGAATGAAATTAGGGAACATACTCTTTTACTCATTTTTTTCTATTTATCTCTCCGAATTTTTTTTAAATTGTAAAAAAAAAAAATATTCGAGAGTTTTTTTTTATAGCTACTCTAAAAATGTTCATATTGGTCTTTATGCGTGCGCAAGCATCAGTGAAATTACTGTTTAAACCCATAAAGCCTAATTTTTTTCTTTTTATGAATCTCTTTGAACTAACAAAATGTATTAAAAGTGGAGAACTGATGATATTGTCAAATAACCATGAATTGTTCAAATCATTGTTCCTTGGATCAGATGGGGCCACGATAGAGATTATAAAGGTAGAATATTTAAAGCTCCTCAACAGTAAGTGCATGGTAAATCATTTTAGTTTGGAAGCATTCTCTGGTAGTGTAGATCTATTTTTGATCACATCACGATCCTCTGTATAGGATGGGCACAAAGGTTTTAAAAATACAGAAGAATGCATATATTTTGAGGGGAAATCTGATACAGAACAGCAAGGCCAAAGTTACACAGGTGAGCGGTGTGGCCCTTAGACCTTTATTTGAAAATCTACTCAAACTTTACCTTTTTGAACTTTAGTCGTAGAAATTTTATTTTATTAACACATGGGATCGTTTATTAAGATCAAATCAAACTAATATCTATAGAAATTTGGACAGTATTAAGTAGTTTTCTTAAGATTTCGATCACAGAACGATATCGTGACATTTTGCATTATCAAAGGGAAACAGTAATGTAGTTCAAAAGCCCGTGTGAAAATGGTGGGATTTTTCGTCCCAACCAAAATCTCACGGAAGGAAAGAAACTTTAAGGTATATCTCCTTACATTTTACATCATGGTAGAGATCGATAAAATGAAAAATCCCAACTGTGGCTTCACTTCGGATTTAAAGTCCTATCAAGAATTTTATTTTATTTGATGCCATATAGGAGAAATAAATCAGTTGATACTATGTTACATTGATGCTAGTAGTTTAAGAAAAGCTTTGAGCATAGTTTATATTAAAATTATGAAGAAATGTTGATTGATTGATTGTATGTTGTCTTACGTTCAATTTGAGAAGGCTTCTAGGCATTAATCCTTGCAAAAATCTATATTTAAACAGGAGAAGTGATTTTAAAATTTCATTTAATCAATTTTACGTTCAAAATACAAATTTGAAATCTAAGATAGAATGTACATAATTAACTCTGATACTGTAATGTTAGTTTATCAGAAAATAACTCTGATGATGAAATATCATTGTATAAAAAAAAATAACTACATAACTCTGACATTGAAATGTTATTTTATCCAAAAAATAACTTGATGGCTCTGATATTGAATTGTTATTGTAAAAGAAAATAACTAAATAACTCTGATAGCGAAATGTTATTTTATCAGAAAAAAAACGGTAAATAAGTCTGATATTGATATGTTGATTATTTTATCCATTCTTTCTTTCTTTTTATTATTATTATTATTACTGAAAACTGAAATGTTCCATTCAATTTCTTTTGAAAATTCTTTAAGATTCGTAAATAAAAAATGAAATAAATTCATCATTCTGAAGTAAATTTAGAAGCAAAAATAAGATTCCTTTTCCTCCTAAAGTCAAAGTACCCACTTATCTCAGTTAACCATATTTATGTGATGTTGAACAAGCAATTCTACCATTTTTAACATCTATACATAAAGAAATTTATTGACGTATACTTTAAATATTCTAATTACTTGTAGTCACAGACTTAACAAAATTTCTCCCTTAATTTGCAAAATTAAGAAATCGACTGTTTTTGCTCTACTGTCTTCTGATACTGAAATATTTAGAGGGGATGTATCGATGTCAGATCAAAAATTTGTATATTTCTTTGTAAATGGAATCATTCCAGGCATTTGCCGCTGTTCAGGGTGGTGGAACATTTGTTAAGCCGACACTTATTGCAAGGGACGTCCGCCTTCAACGTGCCCTTGGCCAAAGACAAGAGTTTTCTTTTTATGACGCAAAGCTTGCTAACTTGGCATACTGTCAAGGTAAAAAAGTAGTTTTCTGTATATTTTTCAGCAATGAAATAAAACGATAACTCATATGTAGTTAATATTCTAAATTACTTTATATAAAATATCATAACTTTTTCTCATAGACGTATGTGATCCTTCACTGTTGGCTAAGCCTTGTCTCCACGATGGTTACCAGGATCCCAAAAACTGTTCCAAATGCCGCTGTGCAGACGGGTTAGGTGGGGACTACTGCGAAAATGTTCAAATACATCCTCAGAGTACAGGTGAATTAGACTTTATTTTCAGTGTTAAACCTTGAATTTTATGGCTTCATAAATTTTTGTTCAATGAATTAAGTAGAGAAAAATATTCTTTAAAATGGTTTAAAATTTCTACCGAAACTTAATTTGGTTACAGTGGAAACTGGAGAAATCTTTGTTTCTGATAAACCCATAGTGATTTCTGCATATACAACTAGTGATTACAAGAAAGGGACTAAATTATCCTGGCTCTTTAAGGTACGTGATATAAAACATAAACTGAACGATCATGAATTCTTAAACAAATGGGGACTTTATGGATAATTTTTTTTACTCTGCTTAATAAAGTTTTCGGGACTTTTTTTCAGACTGTACCAAACAAAATCAATTTGAGTTTTTCTTCACAGCTAATAATTTTCTATTTTTTTTCAGACTGAGCCAAACAAAAACATCAAACTGACGTTTAAAGGAGATTTCATGATGTATTATAATTGCACAGATGATCCTAATGAGAAGTGCAGGGATTATGTTGAAGTTCGCTATTACCACAATCTAGCAAATCCTGGAGCAAGGTATATACAAGGTGCATGTATTAGAAAATGGAAAAGATAAGTTGTTTTCAGATGCGTATCTTCAACTCGCTTATTATATACAAAAATATTCTGATTTTCAGATTTTGTTGTTTCAATAAAAATGATAAAACCCCTCCCCTCTTATCAGAGGGGAATGAGATGCTGGTATTGATGCGCGCTTTTGGGGATGGTAAAAAAGGCTTCGAGGCGGAGGTGGTTTCAGGTAAAAAAAATCTATGAATGTTTAATACATATAAAATCCAACACAAATTATATATATATATTCAGGAAATCGGTATTGCTATACATGTATTTGTATCACTAGTATCATACAGTGCATGTATCATTGTCAGTTATTACATTTAAAGAAATCAATTCGAAAATAAATGGATGCAAGTTGTGTAAAAAAAATTCAATATGAAATAAAAAATAATTCATTTTTAACTGGTGTCCTATAAGAATATTGCGGCGGATATGGAAAGGATAGTCGAAGAGATCAGTCGTATATGCCTTGTTCCCGCCTTGTTCAAGAGACTTGTCAACAAGTGTGGGAGGAGAGGGAGGAAGTATCCTGTAAAACCTGGTACACATGGGCTCCAGACTGCAAAACAGAAGTGTAAGCATCCCCTTTATCTTTTTTCATATAATAAAACCAAAAGAAATCGAAAATTTTGGTTTTGTTTTAAACAAGAATATCAACAGTCTCGTTTAAAGTCATCATTTTGTAAATTCTATGGTCGATATAATGACCTTGTCATCTAATACAATTTATCATAAGGTCAAATGCTGGCTGGTTTTTCATAGTAATTGTTAGGTCATTATTCACACACTACATTGTCGACGGATTTTTCCGTTATTTCCCGATCATGACAAGGAGCACATGCAAGTGGGACCGGACGGCAGGGGATGCTCGCTCCTACAACCACCTGATCCCACCTCTTGATGCTTTTGAGGTGCGAGTTTGCTCAGCTCCATTTAGTAATTTTTAATGGACTTTTGAGCTTGAATACTATTCGGTATCTCCATATATCACATTCTATATTACTACTAGTATTTTACGAGGGCCGTTCAAAAATTACGCGGACTTGTTGCACAGAAAAAATATTTGACGACATAATTGGGCAAAATGTCACACATAATATAAAAGAATCTTTACTTATATGGTCTTCAAAATTTCATATCAAAATGTTGTAAATTGATACCGATTTTAAGTGATTTTTATGGAACGCCATCACTGCCTTATAGCATACAACTATGCATTTATTACGTCAATTTATCATTACGTGATGTGAACATATCTTTACGTTATGTCCATTTTTTATGGGATGATGAAATATCTGAACATCATGTCAATGCTGCATTACATGAAGTAAATACATCCTTTCATTATGTCAGCACTTCATAACTTGAAGTAAAAAACTCATTATGTGAAGTGATAATGTGTTTACATTGTGTTAAAACTTTATTACGTGAAATGAATGTTTCTTTACATCATTTCATTTCTTTAATATGTGAGGTCAAAATTGCATTACGTCAAGTAAATTGCGTTTTATAATTAAACTTATCATCACATGAAGTCAAAAGCCCATTCCTTTTTGAGAGTGTATATTTCTATTACATCAAAGTATTATTACGTGATATATATTTATCTTTATTTTACGGCGAGGGCATCATGATGTGAGGTGAACACATCTTACCTTTATGTCAGTGCTTTATTACGTGGTGTAAAAAGTGTATAACATAATGTGAACATATCTTTATATTATATCAACACTTTATTACATTATGTCGAAACTCCATACCGTGATGTGGATATATTATAACGTTATGCCAACTCTTTCTTATGTGATTTAAAAATATCTTTATATTGTGTTAACTCTTTATCATGTGGATTCCAAGTTCATTACCTGATGTAAAAATACATTTACATTATCTCAAAGCTGTATATCTAGTATATAATAAATGTTGACGACCCTGTTTTAATGACTGGTAAGAAGGGGGGGGGGGTCGTGATTGATTAGGACAAATTACAGGCACATAATATCAACCCCCTCTTTTCCCAGACATAACTTTACTATAGAAAATGTAATGTTCATTGAAACTGTACAGCCCCCCCCACCCCCACTTCTTGTTGAAATATAGTCCACTAAGGGTAATATAATAATATAATATATCTGGAAAAAAATAGGATTGATTGAAGTTGGACCACTCTCCCCCAAATAGGATTTTCGGGCTTGGACATTTTTTTTCTTGGCTTGTCTAGTTTTTTCGGATAAATGATTTTTTTACTGGCTGACCTCCTCTTTCAAAAAAATGATGCTACGTCACTGGAGTTAGTCATTTTTTTTAATCATTCCAGGGCCAGAATTCTATTACAAAAATCTACCAGTCGCTCATCTAAATCAATTGAATATGCCTTAGTAAGCATGCATGGGCACATATCAGTGGCAGATATGGGAATGTTGAACAAGGAAGGGGGACGGTATATGGGCGGAAAGCGGAGAAGCTCTCAGGCTTTATAGTTTTATAGAAAAAAGTTTTCAACTTAATTCAGCTAAACTTAATGTGAAACTAATGCAATGTCCTACAAAGTTTAAGACTTTTATGAAAAAAAAAAACAATTCAAAATAAAAAGAAAAAAATGGTTGCTGCACGACTCATAATATTTGATTTATTTAATTATCAGATTAAAGTAAACACCATTGAATTTCGACGTGACTTTCATTCACAGTCGCAGTGTTAAGGCTTTGCATGTTTCAAGATTGTCAATCATTTATCGCTTAAAGTTCATTTAAAGATGTCATTCCGAAATCGCTGAGAATCTCTTCTACGACAGTTTTCTCTCCCGCCATTTTAGTGCTTGCGGAACGCGGAAAATACGTTATGCTCATATAAAGGCCGAGGATACCCGCGTTCGCATAACGTAATAGTGAATCGACATAATGTAGAAGAGTGCGCACAGTATGGCATGAGCTTTTCACATCAGTTAATAAAAACTAAGATTGTCATGAAAAGTAAACATAACGAAATGCAAGTTGACGAAATAAAATTGTAGTATGTGAAAATGTCATAAAGAGTTGATATAATGTAAAGGAAAGTTAACACGATGCAATAGTAGTGTGGGTTAATGTCATAAAGAGTTGACATAATGTAATGGAAGGTTGGCACAATGCAATAGTAGGGTGGGTTAATGTCATAAAGAGTTGACATAATGTAATGGAAGGTTGACACAATGCAATAGTAGTGTGGGTTAATGTCATAAAGAGTTGACATAATGTAATGGAAGGTTGGCACAATGCAATAGTAGGGTGGGTTAATGTATAAAGAGTTGACATAATGTAATGGAAGGTTGACACAATGCAATAGTAGTGTTCTGCTATAAGGCAGTGACGGCGTTCCATAGATTTTTCAGGACATATCTTTAAGTCACGGAGCAGCAAAATCTTCGACGTCACAGGCATTATAAAAAAAATATGTAATTGAGCTTGCATTTTCTCAACATTTTCCCAAGAGTACCTTTACAGTTTGAGTTACTTTATCTACTCAACATCCAAACACCATTTTTTGTCAAGCTTAACATCTATTAAACAAGTAAAGAATATTTTTTTTTGTTTTAAAACCAAAAACTGCAGGTATTTATGAGATATAGTATCACCGTGTTTATCCCAACATGCGGGGTGTATACTATGTTGTGCGCGGGGTCTATGCTTCCGAAACGAGAGAAAGGGGGTCGAGGTACGTTCTTTGTCCGTTTTCGCAACTTACGGATATTTTCCCCCAGAAAGCATGTGCCTACGGAAGAAAGCATTATCTAAAGAGTTTATGGATACCTATGAATCCACTGTACACCTTCTAGTTTTATCAAACACCTCAACACAATTCCGAGGATCGGAGCAAGATTGACGCTACACTGTGTTTATGATCAAATATCAGAACAAAGCTTTGCTTTATCATCATTTTTATATTATTGTTAAATACATGTTTACAATATAAACGTTTGTACAAATTGCATGTCCGTAAATAAAACAGTCCGTATATCAAGATATTGACGAAAAATCAATGTTGTGTCCGGGGTGTATGCAACATGCTGTACGTGGGATGTATACCCCTTTCTTTTTACTCTATAGTATCATTGTCTGTAATATCATTAAAAATTACTTAACAAATGATTTTTATAAAAGTTCTATTAATTTTTTAAAATTATTCACCAGAATAGCACAACTTCAGGTTCATGAATTCGATTTACTGGAAAAAATTGATACATGTTCATCGCAATTTTGACTTTGCATGCATATGGAATTATAAATGTACAGGATACTTTGTTTAACTGTTTCATGTGATGACCAACAATCTATCCCTTCTTTCGATTTAAAGGCACCTTATTCAGATCCTTCCTTAATAAATACTTCACATATGCATGATTTTGAACATTAGAATTTTCTCATAATTTCTGTTAAATTTTTAAAATATTTTTAAATGACATTGAAAAAAGGCTTTTTGTAATGTCATAAACAGCGTTCTCCTTCATGTAGTATCTATATGCTGTGTACTTTGCCCCCAGGAGCCCATATTTGGCAGTAAAATATTTGTTTATATTGAGGCATTGTATTGAATTGAGTACATATTTTCTAGGTATTGGCCCGGGGAGGGTGTGTTTGTGCCTTAGGTCATTTTTTTTTGGGGGGGGGGGGTTACTTTATTACATGTATGTATACGATAATAAATTAGAGGAGGGGTGAACATTAATTAATATTAATTACACGTCAACGTTAAAATTGTAATTGTACCCAAAACAGTTTTTCTTTTCAATTGTGCATGCTCTCAGAAATTGTCGTCCCTTATTACAAATGTGCTTTTTTATAACCGGCTTTACATGTTTATATTGTGATTTGTAAAATATGAAATCTTTTCAGACGAGGAAAAATGAGTCCATATATTGCGAAAATTGAAAGGAAAATTAATATATCATACAGACACATAGTATTACCCCCTTTTTGTTCCAGACATAACTTTTCACTATAGAAAATGGTCATCGAAAAACAGGTTGCCCCCTCCCCCTTTTGTTACAGCATAGTCAAATAATGGTTATGTAGTATGTTTAAGTAAAAAAAAGGCGAATTGGTACTGAAAAAAGATGGGACCTACAATACCATCTGAAATAGGAGTTTTGAGTCTCGATAAGTCCCCCCCCCCCTTTTTTTTTTTTTAAAGCTAGTCAACTTATGTCAAATTTTTTTCAGGTACCCCCACCCCCCTTCAAAACAGATTCTACGTCACTGTCATAAATGCTTAAAAATAAATGTATTAATAACATAAATGTTGCAGAAACAAAAAATAAGATTTTTTCATAATACACCATTCACGTAGTGTTTCTATTATTTTTAAAAGGCTAAATACAATGTTAATAGATTAAAATGAGCTGAGAGGCAAAGTGTCCTTAATGCAGGGTTGGGGGAGGGCGAGAGATTTTATGATTACGTAGATTTAGACCATTGCGTCATCCTACGATGTAGCATTAATTCAGATAACAATCACTCCTTGCACACCTAGCGCCTATTATGTTTAAATATGATCGTTTCTTTTTAAAATTAAAAGAAAAAATTCTTTTGATTTTTAAAATTTAGTTTGTTTTATACTTCAGTACGTTTATGGAAATAACTTTATGGTTCAGTATTAGTATTAAGGTCTTTTTTTAACAATATCTGTCACTTATAAACCTGTGTGAATAATATTTCCATTGATACTTCGTATCAACAATCCTTAGAAAAATATGGGGTATACACCCCGCGTACAACATGTTGCATACACCCCGGACACAACATTGATTTTTCGTTAATATCTTGATATACGAACTGTTTTATTTACGGACAATTTGTACAAACATTTAGATTGTAAACATGCATTTAACAATGATATAAAAATGACGATAAAGCAAAGCCTTGTTCTGATATTTGATCATAAACACAGTGTAGCGTCAATCTTGCTCCGATCCTCGGAATTGTGTTGAGGTGTTTGATAAAACTAGAAGGTGTACAGTGGATTCATAGGTATCCATAAACTCTTTAGATAATGCTTTCTTCCTTTCTTCCGTAGGCACATGCTTTCTGGGGAAAAATATCCGTAAGTTGCGAAAACGGACAAAGAACGTACCTCGACCCCCTTTCTCTCGCTTCGGAAGCATAGACCCCGCGCACAACATAGTATACACCCCGCATGTTGGGATATACACGGTGAGTATGATATTGGTGACTCTGACTCAGTCACGTTCTTTACAGTCCGGATAAAGTTTTCGTCGAGAATCTTCTTCCCGTCCTCCCGTATAGCCTTTTTTACAGAGGTCTAACGGTCTAAAATTTGAATTTGCTATTTATGGACGGATGTCACGAATACCCTAGTTTACTACATGTTTTGTTATGCATATTTTGGATCTATGTTGGCGATATCTCGAGCATTACACATAATTTAACAAAAGTGTGGTGAGCTGTCAATTCAGGAAATGTCATTTTCACAGTTATTTTCACGGGAATCACATCAGAAAAAAAAATCACTATATTTCTGTTAGTATTTCAAATATCACGTCAGAAATCTAAGTACATAACAACAGAACAATTTAAAGATACATTTGAGAAAATTGTCGAAAAATATTGCGAATTATAGAAAATTAATGAGTTAAATTTTCGATTCTGCATGCTTTTGCTGCATTTTTTTTGTCGTGCTCCGTATCCTCCATCAGCGATATCAACATACAGATTATTTAATTAGAATTTTTTTAAAATACAGAAATTTTGCCGAAAATTTATTGGACTCTTTAAGATACATATTTCTGAGAAATTTCATAACTATATGACGTCTTTAAGAGTAAATAATAGCTCAGTCCGCGTAATTTTTGAACGGCCCTCGTATGACTTGTCCAAAGGCCCGAGAAGATTTTCTTATGGAAGAGCGTCTGGCATATCTGTCTTACTGTCCTGTATTTTCTTCTCTCTTTTTAGCTCACCTGAGCCGAAGGCTCAAGTGAGCTTTTCTGATCAAAATTTGTCCGTTGTCTGTCGTTGTCGTCGTCGTTGTCGTTGTCGTTGTTGTCGTCGTAAACTTTTCACATTTTCATCTTCTTCTCAAGAACCACTGGGCCAATTTCAACCAAACTTGGTACAAAGTATCCTTGGGTGAAGGGGATTCAAGTTTGTTCAAATGAAGGGCCACGCCCTTTTCCAAGGGGAGATAATCATGAATTTGTTAAAAATTAATGGCATTTTTAAAAAATCTTCTTCTCCAGAACCGCTGGGCCAGGAAAGATGAAACTCATGTGGAATCATCCTCAGGTAGTGTAGATTCAAGTTTGTTCAAATCATGACCCCTGGGGCAAAGGTAGGGCCAAAATGGCCGACCCAAGTTTTACATAGGAATATATATGAAAAATCTTTAAAAATCTTTTTCTCCAGAACCACTGGGCCAGGAAAGATGAAACTCATGTGGAATCATCCTCAGGTAGTGTAGATTCAAGTTTGTTCAAATCATGACCCCTGGGGCAAAGGTAGGGCCAAAATGGCCGACCCAAGTTTTACATAGGAATATATAGGAAAAATCTTTTAAAAATCTTCTTCTCCAGAACCGCTGGGCCAGGAAAGATGAAACTCATGTGGAATCATCCTCAGGTAGTGTAGATTCAAGTTTGTTCAAATCATGACCCCCGGGGCTAGGGTGGGGCCAAAATGGCCGACCCAAGTTTTACATAGGAATGTATAGGAAAAATCTTTAAAAATCTTCTTCTCCAGAACCACTGGGCCAGGAAAGATGAAACTCATGTGGAATCATCCTCAGGTAGTGTAGATTCAAGTTTGTTCAAATCATGACCCCCGGGGCTAGGGTGGGGCCAAAATGGCCGACCCAAGTTTTACATAGGAATATATAGGAAAAATCTTTAAAATCTTCTTCTCCAGAACCACTGGGCCAGGAAAGATGAAACTCATGTGGAATCATCCTCAGGTAGTGTAGATTCAAGTTTGTTCAAATCATGACCCCTGGGGCAAAGGTAGGGCCAAAATGGCCAACCCTAGTTTTACATAGGAATATATAGGAAAAATCTTTTAAAAAGTCTTCTTCTCCAGAACCACTGGGCCAGGAAAGATGAAACTCATGTGGAATCATCCTCAGGTAGTGCAGATTCAAGTTTGTTCAAATCATGACCCCCTGGGGCTAGGGTGGGGCCAAAATGGCCGACCCAAGTTTTACATAGGAATATATAGGAAATATTTTTAAAAATCTTCTTCTCCAGAACCACTGGGCCAGGAAAGATGAAACTCATGTGGAATCATCCTCAGGTAGTGTAGATTCAAGTTTGTTCAAATCATGACCCCCGGGGCTAGGGTGGGGCCAAAATGGCCGACCCAAGTTTTACATAGGGATATATAGGGAAACCTTTTAAAATCTTCTTTTCAAGTACTTCAGAGCTATGATTAGTGATATTTATATGGAATCATCCTCAGGTAGTGTAGATTCTAGTTTGTTCAAATGATGAATGCCTGGAGGGGGGGGGGGGTGAGTAAATTCAAGCCCGATGTGCTCAGGTGAGCGCTGTGGCCCCTGGGCCTCTTGTTCTATTTCTTGCCGCTAACCATCGGATCAATATCAGGCAAAGATGCCACGATGCATACAACGGTAATGGAACATCAACATTGTTTCAATCGCCATACGTTCTATCAATTTAAGATAACACAATGGGGGGGGGGAGTGTTCTACTAATTCTTTTTGGATCATGAATTTTTAAGAATAGTGGAATTGATCTCAAACTTTGTAATACACTGTATATTTCAAATTTATTTTCTTTTAGATCCATGGGCAATTACTTAGATACCAAAGATTTACAAGTCTTTGATTTTCAGCGTACTAGAAAGGTTTATTAAATCAAATATGGGAAACGAAAAATAATAATCATGCTCAAAAGTCCATTGAAAATACAAACTGGAGCAGAGGAAAGCACATATTTCTAAAACCTCAGAGGTAGGATCAAACACTAAGTGAGAGTTGGTGCAAAAGTGATGAAAACCTAACTTTTGTTAGTATACGGCAGTAGTGAATCAAAGACACCATGTATATAAGGTTAATTTTAAGTTAAGACTAATTTACATGACTGTCAAGTGTATTGTAAATTTCTCATTATCTACGGAAAAGTGTTCTCAATAACAGACTATCGGTATGATGGTATTTTTCCCTAAAATTCTATCATTTATGAAATAAAATGATCAAGTAAAATAGAGTGCTTGTTTGGAATCTGTTTGTCCCCACTGTTGATTTGAAATACATATGTGTATTATTCAGCCCTGGCATTCTTTGATGAAGTAAACCTTTGTTTTCAACAGCATAAATAAGACCACAAACGGTGCATTCTACTCCATTAGCATCATAAAAAGATATGTAGTTTAGATTTTCCCAAGTTTTGTTAAATAAGCTCTGTCCAGCACGATTGCTATAATAAAAGTTTGTTATAAAAAAACATTACGGCATTTACAGTTTTTGACAGAAAATTATGAAATTGAAATTGTGGGATCGGAAAAGGAATCTTCAATGTGTCTCTATTAAGAGAGAAGAAAAGTATTTGTAATACTTCTAAATAATAACGGCACCAATGGTCGATACAATGACCTTGTCAGCAAATATAATTTATCACACTGAATTTTCAATGGATTTTTCCCGTTCATTTCCGATCATGACAAGGAGCACACGGCCGGTGTGACCGGGTGGCAGGGGATGCTCACTCCTCCATGACACCTGATCCCACTTCTAATGTTTTGGAGGCCCATATTTGCTCTGCTCCTTATTTGTATTGTTTAACGGATTTTTGAGCTTGAATACTATTCGTTTTCTTATATTTCATGCAAATGTGACATGGGATTATGTAATGTAGAAAAAAATCTCAGGAAAACCAAAACCAAGTCACTCGGATGACTGTTGTGGCTCATGTACTTATTTATAGTATAATGTATTGTTTAAAGCAATATGAGCTGCAAATTTGAAGTCGGAATTATTTTGTTGCAAGATTGTAATTAAATATTTCTGAAAATAGTATAAATGAATATTTCAGAAAACAGAATAACAACATTAATAAACTTCTAGTGTTCATATTTGTGATGGAAGAACTATTTATAAGTTTGAATTAAAGCAGAATTACATTATTGTCATCCTGTACAATTTTTATCTCTGGTCATAAAAGTTTAAAATACAAACAACTTTATCATAAGAGCACATTTCAACATCAAAATAAAATTATCAAAAAAAAAAAAAAAAAACAGCTCATATTGCTTTAAAAAAGTAAAGTTTTACATAATAAAACAAAAAAATGTCTTATTGCTGCAAATGGTATTTTTCTCATATATTATTTACAAATTTTTATGTATTTCACCTACATCTAGAATGGTAAAGAAATCCAGGCCTGCTTTGTGTCCTAGATCCACATATTACTGCGCTGACGGCTTCTTCTTTGATGGCCAATTATGTGTTGGTAAGACTTTTTTTTTTGGGGGGGGGGGGACTGCAAATGAAGATTTCTAAAGTAGATCTATTGGGCCTGAAAGTCCTGAAAAAAAAATTAGAAAAGCTTCAGTGACTATCAAATAAAAAGCATGATTTTAGAGTTTGTGTAAATGAGGGTGAAAAACTCAAACGCAAGCACATCGAAAGGACGCAAACAATCATCTTGAAAAAAAATGGATACTACGTCATATTACAGGAGGAGAGTCGGTAATTGCCATGATTTTCCAAGAGCTCTTCGTCTGATTCATAAGGACTTAAAATCTTGCCCAGGGCTACAAAACTTATACCAGCTCACTTTTATCTTAGTCTCACTTTTCCATTTTGTATTCCTTTTGTATAAGAGAGACTTAGATCAAAGTAAGTTTTTCTAAGTTTTATGGCCCCGGGACCTTGTCGCGTGATTCTTTCTTGAAATATGAGAGATTCAAAATTCAGATATCAAAAACGTTCATTAAGTTGCAGCTTAATTATAAGGTCACCTGCGTCGCTGGTTAACTTTGCAATTTTCGGTTTCTTGAACCACTAAACCAATTTCAACCAATTTTGGCATATGGCGTCAATAAGTACAAAAATTGTGACTTCATGACCCAATGTGACCTTATGGATGGGATTAAAACAGTAAATATAAGTACTACTGTCTCTGCTCTTGTGTATTTACATGCAGCAGATGAGTACATTTACCCTTGTTTAGTTTTAAAATTATCTCATAAGACAAAATTTCCCTATATTGCTTTGCAATGAAAACCTTTAAATGAAATCTTAAGAGAAATTTATACATGTATGGAATGTCTAACAGGAAATTATTTAAGGAATCACTGTCTAGTTCGTATAGTATGCCAGGGCATCAACGATAGTGTGAAACATAGGATAATTTGCATAACGGGCGAAGCCCATCGTTGATGTCCCTGGCATACTATACGAACTAGACAGTGATTCCTTACATTTCCGTTTCACTGTGAAATAAAATTGTAGATTTATATTTTAAAAACGTAGACATAGATTTAAATTACATGAAGACTCCCTTGCCAATTTGCATAGCCCTCTCCCACTGACGCCAAACACAAAGGCAGCTGCACGAGATTTTCATGCATATTTGGCATCCTTAGCGTCAGACACAGAGACAGATGCGCACGAGATTTGCATGCATATTAGGTCTCCCTAGCTCCTGACCTTTCGACTTACATTCCGGCAGGTTTATCAAGAAATTAACTCCGCTAAGTTTCTAAGAGTTATCACAGAGACAAAAATAAGAAATGGAAATATTATGATGTACATGTTGAATGTGTTTACACATGTTTCACTACTGCAGGCAAATGCGAGCTAGGTAAAACATATAGGATTATTTTTTAGATTTGGCCATTTATTTAGAAATACAAGATCGAAACTAATCGGAAAATCAAAAATGTTGAATTTACATTTTAACCAAAACATTCTCATATCAAAACAGAACACAGTTAATCACAAATAAAAACTTAAAGCGAAACACGATTCGTAAAAGGAATGTGTCCACCATTTTTGATCGGATTCTCGCTATAATAATAATAATTTATTTATTATAGTGACTTGTGTAATACATTATATAAATATTGCATGTAGTGGAGTGTAACATTGAAAATTTTCACCCAAAGAAAACCATTGTCAACCGAGGCGCAGCCGGGGTTGACAATGGTTTTAGAGGGGTGAAAATATTCAATGTTACACTCAACGACATGCAATATTCATTATATTATACTGAATGTTTTATACAAATACATATAACAGTGAACCGTGCGCACATAAATTCTGCGCAGTCGCTATTTTTTGTAATACCACCCGTCGTCAAGCAATGTTGACTGTTGCTACGCTGGAGGGCGTGGCTTCATTATTCAGCGGGTAATAGTGTTTTTTAGCAAATGTTTCTCGACCAATCAGATTCAACTAATTTACATGAAAGTATGATATCATGAGATAGTTCATCTTAAATATAAAAATACAAATACTTTACACCCGGCCCTTTGGACCTATAAGTCACCTGGATTTAAATCTTATACATCATCTTCACGGACTTATATGTATGGACATTGTATGTACATGTAAATCGTTTATATTAATTTAATTGCGCTCCTGAGAATGACAAATTATGTTTATCAAGATAACATTTTACTGTCACAGACAGATGTCTATATCTATGATAATGACTAGAAATGCTCTTGTTGGTCATGTTGGTCAATTTGCACTGCTTGTCGCGGTATGATTCGTCCACTTGCATTGACCCTTAGTAATCTCCCCTGTTCCCGCGGTAAATTTCTCAAGATAGTGCGTGCATTTATTTCCATTAACCGTTCAATGCGAAATTTACTGCTTCTGATAAAAGTTTCTTTGTATAAATCGGTTCTTTTAACTTCATCTTGTTTCTAAGCACACAGATTTTTTCTTCTTTGTTTTGGAAACTGATTTTGATGAGGCCGGGTTTATTCGGAGACCTTGTTGGCAGCCGGACTGCGCCTGTTATCTGAACGTATTGTGATACAGTTTCTCTAAGTGCTTTAATCAAATTTTCAGCTTTTTGCATGACGTTTTCATCTTCAGTGACAGGGATACCACTAGCTGTGATAGTAATCTCATTGTTATCTAGCGGATCTAACGAGTGTCCGGTGGTTCCAAGGTGATTACTGTTATCTTTAGTGACATGTTTCTCTAACTTGTCCAGACGTGTTTGTATGGATTGTATGGAAGTGAGGATTTGATCAGTGCGATTTGTCTCTTGAGCAATATCTAAAGCTATCTCATCCTTCAATGATCGTATCTTTTTTTTCAACATTTTCCATCAAATCAAATTTTAACTTTTCTAACTTGGACTCAAACATGCGCTTCATACTTTCCTGATTATTCTTCAAATCAAGAACTACAGATAATAGTGTTTCTAATTTTTTTGACACAGAGTCACAGCTTGTTTGGTTTGACGCCATGTTTAAATATTGTCCACTGACCTTTCATGGAAAGTGAATGAATCAAATACGCTACTAGGTAGTTCACTGTCAATTTCACTTCTTATACAGTAAATCACTCACCGTTGTATCTCGCTCGACCCGCTCGTGAATACTGTTCAAAGTGGTGTCCTCGGCTTTAAAATATTTACAATCGGGACTGACTTCACTCCCGCTATTACTGCTGCTACTTTTGACCTTTTCCCTCTTCTTCTGCTTGTTTTGTCTATTTCCAGTCATTATATTTAGTTATGTCAAGATATGATACTAGTTCATACGGTTTTAGACGCATTTTATACCCAAAACTCGGAGCACCGAAAATTAACGTCCATACACCAAGTCACGTGACACCATGAGGATCCCTGAATAAAGCGACTGACTTGGTCACTGTTCAGTGTAATCATTCGTCACCTGTGTAGACGGACGTATGCTGTGCAACACTCGGTAGCGACAAAAAAATAACTTTACTTCTTCTTATCTTTTAAAGGAAGATGTTCAGCTTTAACAAAGGAGTAAAATTGCCATACGCATTGGTACACAGTCGCTTTGAAAATTATAAGAAAATATGTTTAAATGTGTTAGGTTACATGGTAGGAAAAAATTAAAAGAATCACAATTTAGTAGTACTGTAGGACTGGAATGGTTTCCAGTAATTTATAAGACTTGATTTTTTTTTGGGGGGGGGGGGCGTTGTTTAACATCCCTTTTAGAATTTTCCACTCATATGGAGACGCCACCATTTGCCATTGGAAAGCTGCAAATTTTATCCTCTACTCGGCACTTGAGTGAGGTATTTTTTCGTGCCAGCACCTACTGCGACACGGGACCTCGGATTTTACGGTCTCATCCGAAGGACCTGTCTCTGCGTCCCACAGTGGGATTCAAACCCGCGACGGAAGGATCAACTTACTTTGCGACTCAAGAGCAGAGGCTCTGACCACTTCACCACGTGGGCGGCACAATTTTGTATGTAATTATTTTTTGCATAAAACAATTTATTAACTTCTTTAAAATATGCAAGCAATGAATAATAAGTTGAAAATAAAGTTGCATTAATTAATACATGTATATCTACAATGAATTCTCTAACAAAACATGGACACTTTTTAAAAAAACAAGAAAAACGTGATAATTGCTGCGGATGACTTTTTGAAGACGAACGACATGAATATTTCGGCAGCAAATCTATGTAACAGAAACAAACCTACTTGGTGGTAAAACAATCACACTTGCATTTATACGTAAAACTGTTGGTGCTACAACAAAGACATTTCATTTCTTTCAAATCAAATCTTGGCTACTAACTAAGAGACCAGAATTATTCAAAATTGCTATAACTACAGTATGTAAAAAATAAATTATTTAAACAATACAGTAACTTTATTTTCCAAGACAAAACTAAATAAAGCATTAGTTTTAAGTCACGGGATATCAAGGAAAACAATTTAATCTTGCATTTCTAATATACAGTTATTAGTCATTTAACTTCTTGACATTTTCTCTCTCTCCCCTCTCTTTCTTTCAAAATATATATAATTTCATTGCACTACCATTACATATGAAAAAAAAAATAAGAAAAAAAATGCAAAAATGATTCATTCCAGGATTCGAACCCATTCTCTGGTAAAAAAAAAAAAAAAAAGTACTGGTTGGAAGCCCACAAGCATATCCACTAGACTATTTCGGACACGATGGTTTTCCAGTGTTATTTAATGTACACATTTTGCATTTCGTTTGGATAATAATTTTCATTCAATTTTTTGCGTTATTCAAAAAAGTGCCTCATTGAAACAAAAATCGGAAATGGCAGTTTTGAAGAAAGTTCCTCCTTCTTTGTGTATATGTAAAAAAAAAAATTTTTTTCAAGGAGGCACTTTTTCAGAACAATGGGGATTCCCTATTTAAAATGGAAAATCTGATATCTAATCTGAGACTAATTTTCACATCATTTAATGGCAAATTGGAAGTCAATACGCAGCTTCCAAATATTGTTTCTCGTTGTGTTTTATATATTGTTGCATTTGAAAAAAATAATATGGGTTTCTTCAACATAAAAATTCTTCTTTTAATCTGCTACAAATTTAGGGAAAATAACAAAAGAACTGCAACACCCTCTTTGAGATTGAACTTTTCCGTTTTTGGTAATAGTGTTGTTGTTACAGGATTAACCAGTACCTTTACATTACCACCTTCTCAGACGACTCACACGGTAACTCTCCAGGAAAACAAACTATCTTCAACCAGCAACGTTCTGTACGACGCTGTCGGTTGGACGACATGGTCATCCTGGAGTTCCTGCAGCGCTACCTGTGGTGGATGTGGAATTCAAACAAGGGATAGAACTTGTGAAGATTCCCAATTATGTGGGTTAGTACGTCCAACTTCAATTACATATAACTGAACCGATCTTAAAATTCTTGTCATTTATGAAGTGAATGATAATTTTTTTTTTTCAATTTCAAATCATTTAAAGTGTATTTAAATGCAATACAAAACAGTCACCATTTTTACATGAAGTAAACCTAGCCCTTTGATATTGGAATATATTAAAAAAAATGTTAATCTTCTTCTTAAGAGAGACAAAGCCAGTAAAGGTGAAATATGCTGAATATTCTGTGGAACTCTAGATTACGAATTGTTCAAATTGTGACTCTTTGGACTAGAGTAGGCCCCAATAGCGGATCATTGTTTAACAATGAAATATATACATGTATGAAAAAATGATCTAATTTTAACCTAATTTTTTTCTCAAGGACCACTAGGCCAGAAGAAATGATAAATTTTTGGAAGCTTTGCGATCAAGTGCAGATTCTAAATTGTTCAATCCATAACCTTCATGGTAGCCCTCTTCGACTTTTTTTTTTTTATTCTGATGTTTTCTGGAGAGGGCTACAATTTCAAAGCATCCCCGTAATGGTGCAAATAGATTTTTAAATACGGGTGATTGCAGGCAAAATAAATTGTTTTCACATTCAACTTACTTCTCTTAAGACGAATTTTTTATTCACTGTCAACAACATAGCCCGTTAAACGCGAAAAACATGTAAAATGAATTTGCGTGTTTACCAGTGGCTCTACTCAGCAGCCATGACAGTTCACGCGTGATGCACAGAGACTTTGAATTGAAATTTAGAACACCTTAAGAAAGGAAATGACGGTGTTTATAAAGATTGTCCTGAATGGTATCACAGAAACATTGATAAATAAAACAATTTCAAGTGTTATTTTTACGCAAACCTCGATATTTATGCTTAAAATAAGGGGATTCCTGAAAGATCCACTCCTATAGATCCTAAATTATCATTGGCTGTCTCAAAATAAAATCTATCAAGGTTAGTAAACATGGCGGATAAATTCAAGTTGTGATGTTGATATACACGAAAAATAATTAATAAACATGTATGGATCGTTATGAATATTTTTGGATCGATTTATGTCTTGCATAACTACATTTTTGGAGTCCAGGTAAGAAATGTTAACAAAATAGCCATTTATTGATAATTTGAGCCGAAATCTGTGCGGGGGTGATTCACTCCCGCACTTGTACCATTACGGAAATCCTTAAGAGTTGTAACCCCCACCCTCAAAAAAAAAGGGGGGAGAGGTCTACATTGTTGCAGCTACCTCCATGGGTAATGTGGGGCCACAGTAAGGGATCAAAATTTTACATAGGAGTACACAGAACAAAAAATCTTTAAATATTTTTCCTCTCAAGATCTTCTGAGCCAGAAAAATAAAACTTATTTGAAGGCATTGTGAACAAGTGCAGATTCTCAATTGCTAAAACCATGACCCCCGGGATAAGGTGGGGCCACAGAAAGGGATCGAACTTTTGTATAGGATGCAGAGGAGAAATCTTTTAAAAAATTTTACTTAAGAGCTTCTGGGCCAGAAAAAAAATGAAACTTTGTAGCTTTGTGAACGATTCTAAATTGTTCAAACCAAAACTCTCCAGGGAAAGGTTGGGGATTAAATTTAACAAATTGAAAAAATCTTGAAACATTTTATTCTAAAGAATAGTTTATATGAATATTACAAGGTATGTTTTATTATAGCAGAACAGACTTTGAATGTGTTGAGGACCCTAAGCTTAATCTAGGTGTTTGATATCATTTGTTTTTATATAAATATAGGGTTAAAGTGAATACGATCGTTGTAAATGATAATAATAATAAAAGTAAGACTTTTATACATCTGTAGAATGATAATTATGGTTAGTATTCCACATCTGAGAGCTCTCTATTCTTGATCATGTTTTGTATATACCCAAAGGAAACCATCTTGCTGAATTGATAAATAAAAGGTTTGTCTGAATAGTCAATCGGTGTGTTCTATATTTAGGGGTAAAACTTACGAAAGAGAGGCTAAACAGTGCGGATTACAGCCTTGCGATAAAGATAAAGTGTCGAACAAATGCACTCGGGAAATTGAAAAGCAGCAACTTTGTAGTCCTTTATCCATGGATATATGTGTCACGTAAGTTATCGAGCTCCTCATGGATTTTTTTTTAATAAAAATCTTTCAGAAAATTTTGATCCTAACTTATGTCTACATATTCGTTGTAGGACGTATACAGAAACTTACGACTGTTTCGGTACATGTTGTGCAGATTATAAAATTGATGGAGACAGCTGTGTTCCAATAAACAAGAGATAGGATTTAGTGAAACTGGAAAAGGGGTGCTAAACGCAAAGCGGATTGTTTCCTTGCCAAGCGACCGAAGAGGGTTTATATCTGTGATATTGCTTGTATCCTCCTAGATTGTCAAGTAGAATGCAGAATCTTTCCGTCATCGCCTGGGTTAGAACGTCACGGCTACTTCAAAACAGCCACATCTACACCTGTCATTGAGCATACCCCCCCAGAGTACTTTCAGTTGTACTTCATCTAAGCTAAGAATTAATGGGGCATGCTAAAATTATTTTAACCATTCGTCGATCATAAGAATTCCATTACAATTTGTGAATGTAAATAGTCAGTTCATTTTCAGTGTACATACACATAATTATTAACATCAGACCTGCTTTTGAAAAATGTTTGGAAATTTATTTCGAACTCGTCTGCTTAATCTATAATAATATCTTAATGGTTCACTGTCCCTTTTGCTTAATGTTTGCTAATGATTGTCATAAGTACATTTAATTCATAATTTAAAGGCATTCACTTTCAGCTTACATACAAGGAAAAACAATAATGGAAAATACCTTATATATACCGAAAGGAAAAAGAAAGGGTAACAATATATGCGAATTTTTTGATCGCAAGACCGAAAATTTCGAAAACTAGTCAGATGAGAATTGTGGTTTTTAAAACACTTAAATTTGTGTTCAGAATTATTCAACCGTGAAATTATGACGTCACATAGAGGAAGTGTTTTAAAAGGCCAAAAAAGTGCAATTTAATGACGACTAGCTTGTGAACAGTATTCTTGTATCATTTGATGCATTTTGGATATACCCAATTTTTTTCAATATTTTCAGACGGTATGAATTTCTTGAAGTCTTGTTACAGTTGACGGAAGTTCCATTGGGTCTGACATTTATATTGCCTAATTCAGAACAAAGACAACAACGGGTTGCTGTGCAGTTTCTTGAAAATTTTTACCCCATAGAACCACAGGTGACAGTAACATTATAGTCATTACGTAAATTCAAATTTAGTATGTTACTGGCCCCTGTGCATAGAACGTCTTACCCGTCGTCAGAGAGGGCTTCGAATGGTTTCCAACCAACCGTGACGATGACGTTAACATGTTACAGAGCCACGTCAAGATCGAGTTATTCATCCTTCCACCTGTTTAATCGTCACTTTGCTACCACAAAAACTGCTATGCATAAGCTAAGCTATGATAATCATTAAGTTCACCTTAAAACTGGGGGAAAAACAATTGCGCGATTTGGGTTTTTGAGCTAGTCAACTTTACTTTGTTGGTCCTGTCTTCCCACAGCTGAATTTTTATTAAAATAGAAAATTTGGCGTTATGGCTATTTAATAGTCATAACACAAAATTTTCTATTTTAATAAAAATTTGTGGGAAGACAGTCTTCTCACTGGCACATGCGTGTTGTTTACCCCCGGCCTAATGTAGCAAGGGTTTATCAAGATCACGCAAACAATCACATTTACCCACTCGATTGAACATTTGTGGGACTGATTGGATGGTAAGGTTCGATATGCCAAAGCTGGTCTCCTTCAACTGCCTCGTTGAAAAGATTGAATAATATCCATTTTTGATGGGCATTGAAGATAATGAGAATTTTGATGTTTATTTTTGGGGGAGGGGATGGGTATCGTCATATGATTATCAATGATTCATGAATTATAAGGCAAAAGCAAATGGGATTTTGGTTTCATTTATATTTAAGATTATTTTAAACGTTAGGTAGAAATACAAGAAAATGCGTAAGGAAAAATTAAATTATTTCTCCTCAGAAGTTTACCCTGTGTTTCTTTTTCCTTTCGGTATATATACTCTTATATCAAATATTACACAAGTAAGAATCTTAAAAAAATGAAATAAAAACTCTGATAAACTCCGGAGCGCTTTCAAATCTTCAGAAGCCATGATACTGTATACATGTACATTAATATTTATATGCAGAAAACTTGTGTAAATATTTACCACATTTAATTGAATGTAGAAAGTCGCTCTTTCAGAACTTTACGGTAATCCTTTTTTACTGCAAACTCAAAGTACCCTTGGTAGCTAATTTATATATTTGGCATTTGTAAAAAAGAAAATGTCTTCTAGGCGTAAAAATTACTTTAAAAAATATTTAAACTTTAAAAAGTCGAAACTTGACTAAAATTCATTTCAGCTTCGAACAGGAAGAATTACACTGTTCTTCGTCAAATACTGTATCAGGATTTATCATTCCTGAAACTTTCACTTCGTGATCACAAAACGTATCAAAGTAAAACATCGGCAATAAGGCCTGTCTAAAATTTAAATTTGGTCATTACTTCGGATCGGAAGTTATTTAACAACAACGGATTTTTTAAAGCCTTTTATACATGTATCAGTCTCTTATCCTGTCAAAAAAAAATGTGAAAATCTATCCAAACAACTTTTAAGCATTTGAGTTCACAAAAATTTGGATTCAAAATTATAATAGATTAATAATATTAAGAAGCAATATAATTACTTCAGAACGCAAGATCTAATAATAAAGATGATGCCGATGATTTGTCAAGATAGAACCACGCTGCTCTGTATGATTAAAGTCGCATCTCACATTTGTGTAAACTCCAGTAGTCTGTTTGTCTCACTGGACGTGTAACGAACTGGGTGACATTCGTGTTTAGAGGAGTCTTTGATAAACGTTGGTCATCATTTCAGTTACTTTTAAAAAAAAAAAAAATTAGTTTCAGGGGGTATTCTCAAACTTCGCTCAAGCAAAAATATCTAAAAATTTTATTGAGATTTTTAGCTCTTTGTTACGGTAGTATAAAGTATTAGTCCTGCACACCTAGCCCAAATTAGGAAATTCAAAATATGAACCTGATACTTGTCAAGCGATTGTATGAATTTTATACGTTGTAATCTTCTGGGGTAAAAATCACCAAATTAAAATAAGTCTCTTTTCAGAGAATATTGTCCAAATCTCTAGGATATTTCCGATAAAATGTGGAAAATACAATTAATAAAAACTCATTAAAAGTTCTTAATGGGATGCCTGTAAACACAAGCTTACATGTTAATTAATTTAAAATAAATGATTATTTTTCAGTATTTGTTTCTTAGATCCCGAAAAAAATAACTGCAGTTCTAAATTATTGTAATTGATCAAATTATACCCTAACAGACCGAGTTGAATTAATAATTATACCTAATAATTATATCTAAAATTTCTTTTATGCTTATAAATGCATATGTTTTTGATACGCCCAAAACCAGAATCAAGCATGAATGGGAAATAGTATTATGGAGTACAGAATATAGTATGCTTTTTTATGAATACAAGAAAAAAACTGTTTTATGGATCGGTAATTATAACCGACACCTCAGGAGAATACTTCTGTTATTGATAAACACTTCCACTCAATGTTGAAACCAAACAACATTATATTTTATTTTGTTGCATCGTTTATGTAAGTACATGTACTATCATCTCATTCTTTCTTATTTATTTTTGCACAAACTCAAATTGTGCATAATACAGAATTGTTTATGATGATAAGGGGGACCACTCTGCTACCTACCAACAGCAGCTGTCAACCGCTATTTTTTTTTGTATGTGAATTTTCTTAATTTTTTCCACGGACAATAACTTTTTTCTCTCTCGTGAATAAAAAATCTATATTTACAGTTTTCAACTCAGGAAGTTGCTTGAAATTTTATATAACTAATCAACTTTGTATTCCTGTTGTTAAGAGTTTAATTCTTTATTGATTTAGTGAGCAATCAGTATTCCTATGTAATTGCATCATGCTTACTTTGATTTTATGTGCAATTTAGCCTGTAATAAATATCTAATATTTATTTTGTTATTTGTATTTTACTAATAAATCCGTTTCAGCTTTTAAAGAGAGTTGGTTTTTTTCGGGGTTTAAAGTGTGTTTCAACTTAGATGAATACCCAATCTAATTAAAATTAGATGTCAAATTCGGAACAGCTCTAGGCTTATTCGCATCAACAATATACGATAATTTTGCAGGCGACGATTTGATTGGTCAATAGAATTTGACCTCTGACGTGACCCTCAATGGGATGTTGTTAGATGTTAGTGTAGCGAGTGTGCGAGTAGATCTAACATCAAATTTTAATTAGATTGGATGAATACCGTGTGCCTTTTTTCCAACCCCTTTAATATTATCAAATAAATTTATAAATAACTAATAAGATGCATAAGGATATCAGATCCTCAGCCAGGAAGGATAACTCTTCAATTTTTAGTGGTTCCAGTTAGCGGATAAAGTTGCTGACATATTTTAATGAAAATGACATGTCCATACAGGTGCATTTATCAAACAGTTTTAACAGAGGTCAAATCAGGGTTGGCTTCCATATTGTCTATATTGCTCTGTTCACCAATGTATTTTGTAGGTTCATTTATAGCACTGTAATTGTTCCAAGTGTGAAAGACGCTTGAAAAACGTGAATAAGGGAGAAAGGGGGAGGGTTGGTTTTTCCGCTATTTATTCAAAACAGGTCGTTTAAATAAGACTATTTTTGCTATCAGCTATCTAAAGAAAGTTTTTTACCAAAATTAAACGACAGGTTTTTCCATTTAAAAAAAATATTGAAATTGAAAACTGCACATTTTCAACGCTTAATTAAACCTTATTTATTCAGTTTAAGGTCTTCAAAAAATGGTTCATTTGTACTTTAAAAAGATGAATTTGTTTGTGTGTTAAATGGTTTAAAGAATAAGTCAATGAAATTTGACAGCTAGGCTAACTTGGCTTGTTTAAAAATCAAGGATTATATTGGTTAAAAAATTTCTCTCAACGTAAACAACTAAAGGCGAGTAACTTTTGGAATTTCCTGTCCAAAAACGTCTCGATCGATTTTGTCCAAAATTGTATACACATAGTAGATATAGTCAAGTAGCAAAAATTAAATGACAGGAACATTGTTGGGGGTTGTACATGTAGTACATGTAGTATCTACAGGGTGTTTCAACAAACATGTCCCGCATTTTGATGTCTATATTTTTGCAGAATAATAAAAAAAACCACTCTGTACATGCATTTACTGTTCAGTACATGTAGGCTGAACAACTACCTTTTTAGACTTTACATCATATGTATCTATATGAACGAGAAGGTATTCATGAACAATTATTTCAAAACACTAAATAAAAGAAGGTTTATAATCATATATTTAATTCTATTACAGTCATACTTGCATTTCAATAAGCGCAATTATTTTAATTGTCAATGCTTTTGAAACATTCCCCACCATCCACCCGCCAAAGTCACCCTTTATATACAATTTTCTCATTCTAAGTTGCAAAATTTGCATAATGTAAGTTTTTTTACAAAGTTCGATAATCAAATTATGCCCCTTTGAACAGCGTAGAAAAAAAACGATTATGCAAATGTTCAGGCAAAACTAACGAATAACAGGCTTGTATACTATATAAGACTAGAGAGTCACTCACTGATTACAATGTTAAGTTTTAGTCTTACATGTATTGTGAGATTCTCTCACTAAACAAGTAATGCTAACTGGCTAAGCAGTACAGAAAAACGCCTTTTAGGGCCGGTACACACGGTAAGGCTTGCCTTATAAGTCTGAAACCTTACGTTTTGCAGGACGTACGGCTCCCGTGTCCACACGCTAAGGCAAGACTTACAATATTATAAACAACATTTACATAAATTCCATGTTTTTGAACCATAAACAATGCACATTATGAAACGGAATAATATAATACTAACTAGGACTTTGAAAAAGTTTTACCGACCAGTGCATCCACACTTCTTAACAAGGAAGAGGAGGTTATCTGAAGTATTTGTAGATAGTATCATTATCTTACTCGAATATACTTGGTGTTTTCTTCAAAGTACCAACGTGTATGGTTTTATAAAAATAGATTGAACTTTGGGTAAATGGTTTTTATTGGTCAAGAATTTAATGTCATCTAAGTCTTGTATTAGGAAATAGAGCAGTGTTCTATTCTAAAGTCAGACTTGTAAGGCTTCAAAAAACGTGTATTAATGGTGTACACACGGTAAGGCTAGAACTTAAGTTTCATGACTTATAAGGCAAGCCTTACCGTGTGTACCGGCCTTTATTATGCTACAGAGTAATTTGGCGCTTTGTTTGATTGAATTTTAAACTGTTTACTCATCTCTCAAACAGTGTTTTACTTAATCAAAATAGATCAAGTATGTTTTAAGTAGACAGTACGTTAAGCAATTACAATGAGATACGTTGCAGTGTAATGCTATCTTTATTTTAGAACATCTAGTTCGTTCCCTAAACTTTAAAAAAAAACAATTTGAAAAAGTGTTTGTTTCAACCTTATTTTTAATTAATAAAAATTAAAAGAAAATCGGATTTATTAACCTTTGATTGACATTACAATTTTGTACAGTGCAATATAAGTATAGGTAAATTTTCATTAAAGATATGTATGCCGTGTTAAACAGTATTTTTGCACAACTGAAACCGAACAAAAATTTCTGGAGTATGATAAGCTACCAAAAATGAAGCATTCTTGCAAATTCGATGAAATATTATTCGGTATTAACAAAGAACTGATCAGGAAAAGAACACGATATTCTCATGCATATTTATAAAGGACTGACGTTTATCCTGGATCTACGCATGTGCGCGGGAAAAGCATCGCGAGAATCATCAGGTCGAGGAAAATATTTTTTGTGACGTCTGTTCAGTGAGTGACACAAATAGACCAATCAGCTCAATGAGTTGCATTTATGGGTTACTACATAAAATACTACATGTTTTTCAAAAAGGCTAGTTTTTTAAATCGCTCTCAGAAAGACTTGATGCATTATGTACATTATTTTCAA